GGGGGGTGTTTGGGTTCAATGGTGCTAGGCCACAACTGGGATTGCTGTTTCTGGTGGATTTCTGCCTTTCTCACCCAGGGATTTTGATTCCCAATTTGAATTTTTTTTCTGTAGGTGGTGTGTTGTGTTGTGGTGTGGTGTGGTGTGCTGTGTCATTTGCTGGTTGTTTGATCGTGAGGTAGGTAAGATTTCTTTTCCTGTGGTTTTTTTTTCACCTTTGGTTGTGGTGGTGGGGGTGTAGTTATGGCAAGTCTAATTTTTCTCACTTTTTCTTTGGTTAGGCATCCTCTGTGGGTGTGCTGCGGCCATTTTGGTCTTTTCCAAACGATCAGTTTGATCGAGAGGTAGGTCTGATTTATGTTTTTTCCCCTAGGTTGCGGTGTGTGTGTGTGACAAAACTGCCACTTGCATGTGCAGGGCAGTTTTGGCAAGGTGTGGGAAGGTGAGGCAGATTTAAATCACTGACTGTTGTTTTTTTCCTTTAACGTAGCTGTACGTTGGACATGGGTCCAAAGAAGCCTGCTTCTGCCCAGGTTGGCAAGCCAACCAGGGAGAAGGTCAGCATCGAGACCAAAAAGGAAATCATTAGGAAATACGATGGCAGGAGACGCATTGCAGACCTCGCCCGGGAGTACGGCCGCAATGCGTCAACCATTGGCACCATCGTGGCCAACTGTGAGAAGATCCTTGCAACGGATGCTGCCAAGGGTGTCACAAGGATCGCCAGGAACCGTCCAGCTGTCCTGGAGGAGGTGGAGAAGCTCCTGGTCATTGGATGGAGGAGAAGCATCGTGGAGGGGACACGGTTACGGAGGCTGTGATCTGTGAGAAGGCCAAGGCCTTGTACGCCGACCTCATGGCACAGCAGCCTGGAACATCAGCTGAGCCTGAGGAGTTCAAGGCCAGCAGAGGCTGGTTTGAACGCTTCAAGACACGTTCCGGCATCCACAGTGTGGTGAGGCATGGAGAGGCAGCGAGCTCAGACACCACTGCAGCAGAGGACTTTGCTGTGGAGTTCCTCGAGGTCGTAACAACAGAGGGCTACCTTCCAGAGCAGGTCTTCAACTG